AGTGGGCATGGTGGTGTTGGGTCGATGGTTGGACTCGATGATCTTAGAGGTCCTTTCCAACCTTAATGATTCTATGATTCTATGATTCTATCCTGTATTCATAACTTCTGATCGCAGTATTCTTTGAGATTTTAGAAAATGTAGATCTCAGCATGTTATACATATATTTTATTTTCTACTGGCATAGGAAAACAACCCGCAACCTTTCTTATTTTATCAACTTTATTTATTTATCTATGGTTTTGATGGCTAAAATAAACAAAATCTTCTCTATACACCTTTTTGGACTGCTCTGTGGCTTAACACTTTTGGGAGCTCTAGTTTAAACTTCTGTCAAGCACTTCCCTGATACTAGTTGTTTGACTTGAACTTTATAAAGTTACCTTCTATGGAAGAAGCATGATCTAGTCTCAAATAGGAAATAGTGTATAAGCAACTGCACAAACCATAGCATCCGTTTAGCTATAGAAATGTCTATTTCAAGTCTATGTGCACTTAACAAAATGAAAATAAATAATCCTTAAAAAAATATTGACAGCAGAATTACAGCATAACAGTATTATAGAGCATGATTATTCTTGGAAAATTGTAGCAAAGGACTAGTGGAAAATGAATAGTTACTTTTCATTATTTCATTAATATTCATACAAGCATTACAAGAAAGACCTCTGGCACATCTGAAATACAAAATATAAACCCAGGGCTGAAAATGCCTAGTGGAAATGGCTTTCTAGACCTTGAAGTATTGTCCTGTGCTGAGGCTGGACACAGCTGCACTGTGGCAGGAAGGCTGTGCAATCAGGATTGTGCTTTAGATGAGGCTGTGATAGCAGCACTCTCTCCTCCAGCTCTGCAAGTTACCATAGCAGTCTCTTTTGATACTAGCTTTCCATTAACTGAACAAAGTCAATTCGTAAAAAATCTTGAGTATTGTTTTTTGTTTGTCCACCTTACAATAGGGTTCTGTCCAGATTCTTGTTTTTCTGTACTGGAGGATATCACTTTTAATACTGAAATATTAATCCAATCCCATGTTGCTGGTATTTTGCTACTATCCATTACAGAAAAAGCATACATATTCTGCATAGAAATATTGTCAAATGGAATATTTAGTATATTAGACATACTTGCAGGAAATACTTAATGAGAAAGACTACAGACCTTTGGGGACCCTGAGATCAATTGCTTATTAGTTAGTAATGATTAGTATTACACAAGTATATCTTATTTTTAATTGTTTGCTTTTTTGTCTCTTCCTCGCACCCTTACGTAAGTGGTTCAAGTTTGGTTTTGGTGAAGCACATCTTTTGTATTCTGTTCTAATTAGTGTGCAATATAGATATTGCCAAAGGTGTTGCTTGTACCCCCTTCAGTTGAATGGACATTAACTATGAATGGAATATCTGAACACTAAAATACAGTTTAAGTAGCCTTATAGTATGGCTACACAATGGCAAGTGATCAAGATAGTTCATTTTAGGAGGTTATTGGCCCTTTGCTGAGATGCTGGAAATAATTTTCTGCATATTTCCAGTTCACTGCAACTTCTTACTTCCACTTGCTTTCAACTCCAGCAGTCTGATTTATATCAAGGGTTTTCCATCTGTGTGGTTTGTGAACTTCAGGTCTGTTACCAGCTGAACTCTTTGTCTTCTGTCTTAGTCCCATTCCCTTTTTGATCTTCCCAGTCTATTCAACCTTGAGTTCTCTCTTTTCTCCTTCCATTCTGCCCTTTCTGGAAAGATGCTCACATTTTGCTGGCTGGGAGGCATATGTTCCATCTCTGTGTTTTCAGATGCTTGTTGATTCTTCAGAGTGGAGAGGAGATGGAATTATTTCTCTCATCTGCCACAAACCCAGGATTATGTGTCACCAGATCACAGTTTTGATAGTATAGTTTGCCACTAAGTCATATGGTAGTATTTAATAATAAATATGATTGAAATGATATAGACCTCTCCTCTTTTTTGCTGAAAGATATATTTCTGACATAAGCATAGTACCCAATTTTGAAACCTTACTGGTTATGTTTCTTTAGGAGGAGAGTTTGATCAGCTATTTCTTTTAAATGATCCTGTTCATTTATAAAATGCACACATGCTAAAATGCTTAGCTGAATGTAATCGGACTCTGATTCAGGAATTTTGTTCTTAGATCTGTACCTCTTTGGAGACAGATTTCTAGTCTTCATTTTTTCTCAAGGACTTCTATGGTGGAGCTTCCCTCAGGCTTCTTTTCTTTTTTTGGTGTCTAGCTCGTGGTCCATTTCTTACCTATACTTATTGAATACAGTAACATCCATCTCACTGCTTTTGTATTTCTCTCCCAGAAAAATAATTTTACTTGCATAGCTTAGATTCCTAACCAACCTTGCAGTTGGCTTCAGTAACAGATGGGTTCTGGGCTGTCATATTGGATTGCGAATTATTTTTCATAAAAGAACTTGCTGTGTGCAGAAGAACATGGTGAATCTTTGGCAAATGCATTTGTTCAGTAAATAAACTATTTTGAGTAATTTATTAACATTCTTGAATTTGCTGAGTGATTTTTTTTTCCTGAAAAAAATTAGGATGTTAAAACCAGTTTTGTTTTTTTGAAGGGCTAGATTTTCAAAGGACCTGGTTCCCTTTGAAAACTGTGGAGATGAAGTTTGATGCTTACAGTACACACATTTTATATGGAATGGTTAAATATTCATTCACTCAGAGAGATAACGCTGAGTAAAAACTCACCTGTTTTCCTGTCACTGTATAAAATATTTAAATATTGCCTGGATCAATCTGAAAAGCTCCCACAGGACAGCATGTAAAAGATCAGCCCTGTAACTAGAGCGTGTGTGTGTGTCAAGTGGGTGATTTCTGTGGCAGGTAGGGTAGCGTACCAGGTTTCGTCTGGCCATGTCGGTATCCCAGTCACTGGGCTGAGGGTAAAGAGAAGATTGAGTCATTGACTTTTTCACTAATTTTGTAAATATCGCTAATATCCCTTTGTGAATCTCACATTTTGCTTTCATTATTGAAAGTATCTAAAATGGAATAAACTGTTTTGATTTGCTGGATATTCTGAGATGTTTCTTGACCATCATAATGCAATTTGTCTTTCAGTTTGGCTGCTGGGGAAGGGAGCAGAAATAAAGGGGGAACTCGGTGATTAACACAAGTTATTCACCTGTTAATTCAGTGAGGTTTTACTGAATTGTGATTGTAACAGTAAATTATGTAATAAAACATTTCATAAACCTACTGATCATCAATCCTTAGTCTTACCAGCTGTGTTGAAGAGCAACACAAACAAAAGTAGAAAATATCCTACCTAGTGAAGACCTGGCATGTTTAAAGCTGGTAAATAATTTGCTTCAGAGGAGAGGAGAAAAGAGGATATTTATTTTAGGTTCCCATGTAAGCTTTGGAAAGATACAATGAAGAGGTTATTCACAAAAAAATGTTTTCTTGTGTACATATATAGTTACAATGTACTTCAAAATAGCCAAACCACAGGATAATAGAGATATAAAAAAAGAATTCTAAGTTAAAAATAAAAAAGCATTTACATTCTGTTGATATCACAGCTTTTTTAGTAAGGTCAGTCACATAAATTCAGTGCTTGAGCATCTTGCAGAGCACAATTTACCTTACATTTCTTAAACCATTTATGTACAGATGTAGAGTCCGTTCTTTAGAAGCTTAAAAAGATATAAAAGCTGAATTTGTTTTAGTAAATTCAAGCAAGCCAGGAATGTTTCCCACCGTTGAAGCATGACTGCCTATACTAGTGAACTGTTCAAATTTTTCTTTGCATGTTTTGGCCATAGCCAGCTAGCTAAAACTGTCTCGAACACTGCAGTGCCCAGGAATGATTTGGCAGTTTGAGTGTCCAAGGAAACACTCCGAGCAGACAAGTTGCAGGGACTCACCCAATTTGGGAAGCTGAAACAGTTTTCTGATACATATGTAGGCTGTTTTGTGCCATTTAATGTCAGTGCCTAGGAATGTGCCTGGGCAAGTTTAACTTACTTAAAGATGTACCCAGAGAGAATCATAGAATCATAGAATCATTTAGGTTGGAAAAGACCTTTAAGATCATCGAGTCCAACCGTAAACCTAACGCTGCCAAGTCCACCACTAAACCATGGTTGTACCTCCCCAAATGCTACAAGTCTATTAGACAAAGCCTTCTGATGCCGGCAAATATCAGGAGCAGGAAAGTCACATGCCATCATGTCAGCACTAACTTCAGCCACAGCAAGTTACAGATAGAGCATGTTTCATGATACGATTGCACAAACTTTTGATTTACCAGAGTGCCCAGGCAGGTTTATATTAACATTACTGAGACATAGTGGGGAGACTGTCAATTTGATGTGTCTCCAACTATAGGATGATTAAAAAAAATGTATCTTTCCCCATTCAAGGCCCTTCCCATCCCTATTCCAAATTGTGTTCCCCAGGTAGGTGCCACCATGGTGATTCTCACACTGAAATACTTGCCTGTACCTTTCGGTCACCCAGGAGAGAAAAAAATACATTACCCAGACTTGAGAGAGGAAGTTGACTCTTAAGGTCTTTTCAAAATCTGCATCTGGTATGTCACAAAACTTTTTCGCAAGCAGTATGCCAGCATTATTGATTAGAACAGTAACATCCCCAACTTCTTTTCTAACCTGAATAAAAAAAGGATAAACAGAAAGCTTTAGAATCATACTTCTGACCCTTGAAAGGGTCAAAATCATTTTATTGTGAAGGTAACCTCTACACTTTAACATTACATGCTGCTTCTCCCATTTGTGCTGCTAGTTCCTCTCTTTCTGGTCTCTGGTATTTCCTGCGCAGTTACACATTCAGATTATGCCTATATTGTGGACTGTGTTGCAGAGAGATCCATTTGTAAAGCACAGACCTGCTTATGCTTGGTGCTTTCCTTCCTGAAATATGCAGTATAGCCCTTATACATAGGCAATAACTGTATTTTGTCTGAGAGTCCTTAAAAAAGGAAGAAAAAAATACTTGCTGTTAAAGAACTTGGATTTATTGGAATAATTCTTTTCCCACAACATTTTAGAGAAAGACGAAGAGAAAGAAACATATGGATGTTTTTAAAATATGCAGAGTGAGATTAATTTTATTGACTTCATAAAATGTGTATAGTATTTTTTGGTTTATATACCTTTTACGCTTTAAGTCCCTTTGGGTTTAGGTAAGATTAAGCAGTATGTTGGGCTTTCTTTGGACCTTGCACACCAAGGTAAATTTTATCAATGCTGAATATTTCTAGCAATATTAATTAACAGACCATGAAGTACAAATTCCAGCATTGAATTGCTGAATTAATACAGTCTGCCATATGAACAAGTCATTCGACAATCATAAATATCTATTTGATACTACTATTTCACTCTACTGCCTGTTGAAGTTTAGCATTGTATACAGAGCTAATACATTCTAGGAAGAAATCACTATTACTGTGCCACTTCAAAACCACACACAACAAATGGAATGGAAAGAACAAAAAATGAACATAGAAACCCAATATATTTTCCAACCTCTACCCTCAAAGCATCAGATTTCATAACTTTTCTATATGCTGCTGCAATAAGTGTTTACAATTTCACAGTCATGGAACAAAAATTTACATTTTCCAATTCTGTAATTTTTTACTTTTCTGTATATATGTATACACATAACTGGTATTGGAACATACCAATTCCAATGTCAATATAGACACATTAACTGGTACTGGAAATACATTTCAAATCCTGCTCCTGTATTGAGATGAAAATTTGAGTCATTTTGCTACAGTATATACTTTCATGATGAAACTATAGAGCTAAATTTTACCTTTGTGCAAGAACTGTTTGTACATTGGATACTTAGAGGATTAAATTAAAATCAGCTTTCCCTTCTGATGTGCTTACTGCATAAATGAACATTACCACCTATCTGGAAAGGAAAGAGATTCAGATAATACAGAACACCTCCACACATCACTTGGACAATTGTATACTGCTGGCTGTCATGTTGACTGGTGACTTTCAAGGAACAACTCCCTACTGTAAATCTCAGAAGACACCTTAACAGTCATTTGTCACTGTGTGAATTAGTGAGTAAAGCCCTCCCTTTGCCTTTCCTTTTGGAAATTACCTGAGACTGTTAAGCTAAAAGAGGATAAAAAGCCCACACATTTCTGAATCAAGTGATTTAAAATATCTGAGTCTAGATTCAACTTGCACAAAAAATCTATTATAACTTGCTCAAAAGAAAATTCTATTATGGTTTCTTCAAAATAATCCTCCTCTTTCCTTCAAGAAATACTTTAGTCAATTTGGCCTCCTCATTTTAGAAAACGTGTTAACTTTTAGGAGTTCTTCCATTTAACAGCAGCTACAAAATAAAAGGACTTAAGCAAATATTGCCAAATTTATCTTGATTTGTCCTTTTAAGTACATTTTCAAGATAAATAAAGTGATTTAAAAGCCTAAATTCTATTTTAAAAGCTTGATTTTGATTGAAACTACTCAAGTTCTTAATGGTCTAATTCAGTAAGAGAGCAAGTGTTTTCATATCTGCAGTGAGACTCTGCACAGTAGTAGTTGGAAAGTTGGAGTTGCCCTAAATCCTAAAAAAAATTGCTGCATGTACAGGCCAAGCCCTTTCTCACTGTGAAAACCCACCTAAATTAAAAAAGTATTAAAGAAAAATATTAACATTTGTAAAACCACTGAATCGGCCACACCGAGAGGTCCGAGTTTACACTTTTGTGGAAGGTTTAGGAGTACAGTCCCATCTAAGTAAACTGTTAATATATCTCCGTACTCACCTTCCTTCTAAATTATCTTAGGATTGGGTCCCTATTGTAGATAAAAGAGGGAATCAATTTACTTGTGTGGAAGGAAGAGGAAGTAATGCTTTGTAGAAGGCATTTCTGTCAGCCTCATGCTAATTTCTGTTTTAGCATCATTCTTGCAACAACAATGGAAGCAAAAATGCATTGTTTCTATATTCCACTTAAACTAGCACACACTGGAATTGGGGGAAGGACATGAAAAGAGAAGAGGAACACTTCAGTGCTGTTATAACTGTATCTGTCCAAGAAAGACTTTGGTGGTATGCCCCAGCAAAAGTTTTTTAGTGCAGAAGAGGTTTAAGCGTCTCAGCTTAAAAACTCCCACAGATCAAGTAGTCTTCCTCCTCTGGGACAACATGATGCACAGTTTGTAAACGTGCTTGGTACTTCAATCATTACTTAATTATACACTTATTACTCTAAAGCTCTTATTTTTCCATCTAGAACTTGATACATGCTACTTTACATCTTGCAGACACTGTAATACTCCATGGGGAACTGAAGCAGTTCTTTCCCAAATGGTTTCTCTCTTAATTTTATAATTATTATTCTATCACAGCCAAAGATTATGATTATGTATTTTATAACAGTAAACGTCTGTGCTGCACTATGCATTACTCTCAGAGTGACTCTTCTATAACAAATGGTTCATTGATTCATATTGTCTCCCTTTTATCCTGTAACAAAGAAATAGATCACTTGGACCATCAGAAATGTCTGAAGCTTCAAAATACTTTTATTGTAAAATAAATCTGCCAGCCATTTCAGTGTTACACATTCAGTTTCTAGACTTCGCAATTAACGGTGATCTTTTGTACTGAATTCTGATACATACACTATGCCCAAGTACTTGTACTAATCCACTAAATGCTTTAAAAGTGGATTCTTCATATTTTTTCAAGTAAATGAGCAAGTTAAGTCCTTTCCAGAGGCCTGCACACCATGGTCCCATAATCTCTGTGTCATTGGAGAGAATGCCACTCAAAAACTGTAGATGTTCTGCAGCAGAGAAGTTTTGGTACAGAATGCCTTAAAACAGCTGTTACAGATTTCAGCCTCCCCCGTGCAATCATCTGCTAATTATGTTAGCAGTCAACTTCCCAGTGGGAAGTAGCAGTGAAACAGAAACAGTCATTAAGAGACAAAAAACAGTGTTTATACTCACAGATAAAAACAGTGATGTTATTACTTACTCAGAAGTATCTCTTGAGGGACAAACCCTGCCTCCACTTACAGAGATATCTGTTAGGAAATGCTGTAGTTTTGTGGTGGAAAGCCAGTTGCTAAGTTTGACATCTTTGTGCTTGACTTGTCGAGTATCAAGCTATGGTAGATGGGGAAGAAAGGCATTAGGTTAAGATCAGTGCAAGTTATCTACTGAGTTAGCAAAAAGAAGAAAACTTTGCCTACCCCTCTGCCTGGGTCTTACAAGTCTCCTGCTAGCTTTAGCCATTAATAGCTGCATATCTAACAGCTAGCACAAGGATCGTATGCCTGACAGGGGCAATCACAAGATTTGAGCAACAGTCCTCGCTATGGATTAGCTCTGCCAGCGAAATCTGGCCCTGCCTCCTAGATTCTGTACCCTGAGTCAAACCCCTTTTTGCAAAGAAAAGAGGTTGCCCTTTAGCTTTTTATGATGTTAAAGTTAATAGCATTTACCATACTTAAAGTAGCTTTAAGTTGCAGAGCTCCTTCAAAGTATAGTAATTGTTAAAATATTTAATAAGGAGTAAACACTATAAAATAGCCTCACTCTTTTATGGTTCTAAATAGCAAAAAATGTTCTAGAGGTTTTATGTTTTTTCTCACCTTGTTTTCTCTTCCCCTTGTGACTAGAGAAAACTGCAGCACAGATAAAAGCAGTGTTACCAAACCAAATCTGAAACAAATACAGATGGGAAAAACAACAAGCTGGGTTGCAAATGGAAAACTGTGGTTATATTTGTTCCTTACGCGACAGCACCTGTTAATACACAACATTCCCTGACTCTGGAAGGGGATTTAGTTGCCCATCTTCACACCAAATTCAAAAGAAGCTAAGGGCAGTGGTCACTTACCACTATTGCCCTGTAATTCTCGCCATCAAGCACAGACAGCTGTAACAGAGATGGTCTAAAGGCTAAGCTCTATATTTAGCTGAATGTACCCTTTTGAAAAGTGAGCAAGCTATGTTTTCACTGTGTACAGCAATCTAGCATTTGATCGCTTTTTTCAAAGGGGTTTAATCAGTTAAACAAATAATTTTTTAAAAGACATTTTTGTAGATATTGTCCAGATTTTAATTACTGTTTTGTTCTCTCAGTAGTCATTCAAAAAAGATAATACAAACACAAAAAGTGGGACAAAATATTCTGTAATGTGCAAATGTTGATTAGTCAACCAGGGTTTATAAAGACTGTCAAAATCTAAGTAGATTTTTCACCCACCTAAGAGTATCATAAAAGTGAAGCTTATCTCACAAGAGTAGTTCCAGATATCATGTATCTCATTGACACTGAGGAATTAATTTACAAACTGTATTCAAACAGTGACCCACGTGACCATTTATTTTTGTATTGAGACTGACCACAGATTGCATGAAAATTATGATTTAGCTAAAATTATACAAACAACATTCAAAATGCACTGAATTAATTTGAAAGGCTTGATTAGTTTTTGCTTCCCATTTTTCCTCTTATCTGGCAGTTCACAGATCACAGTCTGAGTCCAGGAAAAAACAACAAAGTGAATTAAATTTGTGCTGACATTATGAATTCATTTAATATAATTAATTGTGGCAGTTACTGTTTAGGAAGACTCAAGTGATGTTATTTTTATGTCTGTGACTAGCTCAACTGGTCATTCAGAATGTTGGGATTTTAGTGTGATGTTGTCAGAGTATTGCACGTGGTGGGAAGAACAAGGCTGGCTGCTAGAAGTGTTTCAGAGTATAGAGGAAGTATCTCTGAGGGTGCAGGAGAGGAGGAACTTTGGTGAGCTTCTCATAGGCAGTCTTCTGACATATACTATGGGCTAGTCTGAGACTGTTGTGGAAGACCTCAGGGTTTGCTCTTAATTTCAGACAAAAATGAGCTGTTAGAAGATCACCATTATAAAAATTATGAGGTGAATGCCTTCTTCCTAGGCAGAGATGACTGGGGATGTAGAGTTGTCTAGCAACCTGCTGCTACTTGACTTCAGGCTAAGGTGAACTAAGCATTTAGAAATTCCTTTCCTTTCTAAGATGGCAGTGCCACTTTACAGTGATAGTTATGGTCATATGGAGAGAAGGAAGAGCTGGAAGTACTACTGTGCCTTCTTGTATCGCCCTAGACATTTGATGATTGGTTATCAGACCTAATAACAATACAGCCAGTCCAGTCCAGTTCATAAACACAGATCTCTCCTCATTGTATCCATATATTCCACCTAAGTCTGGTCAGCATTAAGATCTATATAAGACTTCAAAATAAGATGACAGAACAATACCTGGCCTAACCCACCTCACCAATACAGTTAGCTAAAGAGATCTTAAATAATTTGACTCTCACCAAAGCCAGCAAACTCTGGAATTTCTGCATTCATTTGGGAAGACACATTTAAGGAAAAAAAATAGTGTTTACATTGAACAGGCCAATTTTCTGAAGACACCTGCTAAATGATTTTCTAAACACACACATTATGAATGTTTGAAGTTGTTATTTTGAAAAATTAAATACTGGGCATACTATTCTACTAGCCATACTACTGATGAGCAGCATTTTACTTCACAGAGTACTGAGATGTTAAGTGCTATTTAACATGAATAAAGATGACAGAATTAAAATTTTAAAATATTGTGAAAATGGATATTTTATTTTTTTCTTAATCTAATGAAAAGACAATTAAAACCATGCCTTATGATTAATCAGGAAGTGTAATAGCTCACTCTGAGTAAGGAGACTGAGATTTATATGAAGTCCGTAACTATATGTACCCTGTTAGCTGTGGAGAGAACAGTATCAGACAGGTGACATTTCAGAGATAATAATGACTTTTAAAATACTTGTTCTATTATGTGTTCAAAGTTCTTGAATCATTGCCACTCCTTAATGAGACATTTACAACTTGTATTAAAATGTTGTAAATTTTTTTCTGTAAAACAATAATCATATACTATGGTTGTACTGTGCAGCAAGCTGCGTTTGAAAGGAAGAAAGCAATTCCACACCACTGTTAGATATATTACAGTGTATACATATGTTAAGCTGCAAGTATTCCTTTGGATATCTTATGTATTTTGTCCTTCACCTGGATGATAACATTGGAGCCAAAACACCTTCAAATACTAGAGAATGAAGAGAGATATGTATCAATGCACAATTCTTTTAGGAAGCATCATCAGCAGGAAATGTCATCAGCACTCTTCTATTGATTTGGTAGAGTAAATGGAGTCTCTGACAACCTTTCCTCTGTGGGAAACGTCAGGCGACACACCTAGCATCAGTATTGGGCTTTTGTTTTATGCTTTTTTTTGAGTCTTTGCCTGAATACTCCTCCTCTTTGTATTTATCTGTTAAATATTCGCCTTTGTCCTTTGTATAACTGTTAAACATGTGATCATGGGAGACTGAAAGAGTATACAGCTCCCATAATTTCAGGGAAATTGTGATAATCTCAGATTCAGCTCTATATTTACTTCTCAGAGTTGTTGGCATTCTAATGGCAGCTTTTGGGGTATTGTATAAGTGTTTCCAGATTGCAAGTCTGAACTCTTTGAATATGTAACTTTAAAAAAAGAAAAAAGACACTCCTTTACAGTTACATTGGTCCTGGGCATGTGTAAAAAGCATGCACAGTATCACTTTTTTTTTTTTTTCCTTTTTCACTTTTTAACACTTCAGCTATATATGGAATCTCAGGTAAGTTCTTTCTAGGCTTGTTAAAGTATCTGCGGGAAGTTCTTGAGAAATTTAATTTGACTTTTTATTATTTTTTTCCTTTCAGACCAGGCATGGTTCCTATAATTTCTTACCCTGTAATAAACTGTCGTGGTTTAACCTCAGCTGGCAACTGAGCACCACACAGCC